TGAAAGCTGCTTTCAACGAGACTGGCACTAGCACTCGGGAAAACAATGCAGCGTTTCTTACGGGGAGAGGGGGAGGGGAGGAGCGGGGTGATGTATTCAATTTTACCCTAATCGCGCGATCCTATTCGCGCGTCGTTTCGCCCGCAAATTTTTCCATCTTGTTCACCGTCCGAAAAGAAAAAGAGAAAACAAGCCATCTCTTAGCAGCGTGTCACCGCGCGCTCGTCATCCCCGGCTAAATCGAAATTCGGATCGGAAGAGAGGTCCGCGCCGAAAATATCGACGTCGTTTTCTCGTCGCGCGTCGACGAAACACGAGTATCGAGACCGCGCGCGATTTCGCTATTCTAATGATTTACGGCACGAATCCGCGATCCCCTTAGGCCGCTGTCACGATAACGTATCGCCCGATTTGTCAGCCTCCGTCCGGGGGATACGAAATTTCAATCTTTCCTGTCGTTCGACGGAATCTCCGACCGTACGACGGGCGTTTTGTTTTCGGGGACGGCGAGACCATCCGAAACGCAGATCGATCGAACGTCACGTCGGAGGCACGACGGAAGATTGGCGGCTGTCGCAGATGGATTGATCAGCGGGATGTCTTTAAATATATAATTACCGCGCCGAATGTCAACGTTTACGACGCGCGTTTACAACGGGCGTCAATTAAATACGATATCTTCCTGTAATTAACGAGATCGTCGCTTCGAGACGAGTCTTTCGCGAGTCTTCCGACTGGCGTGGAAGAATTATTTCGACGTGCGCGCAGGTGCGTTCCGTTGTGCGTTTCAATCTCGCGTAATCCCGAAATCTCGTGATTGCACCACGGGCTTTCCGCTCGGTTATGAGATTCCGCCTATCGGCGGAAACGAGACGACGCGACGTCGACGAGCATCGTTGCCGCGCGCGAGCTCGTCGGCAGCGAGTATCGGGTTTTAGCCGCAATTTTCACCATAACGAGATTACTCCGCCCTTGGAAGTTTATTATCCGTACATTACCCGGATACGATTTCGCCGATTCCACGAACGAGAGAATTCTCGCGGGATCGCGATCGCGCGGGAAAAACGACTCGCGGCTCGTCCGCGAGGACCGACGCCATTTCTCGTCGCGATTCGAAGATCAATCGGAGTCGAGGCACGTCGAATATTAGACGTTCGGCCTTCGCGAGCCGAAGAGAGCAATTTCGTGGCGCCCGCCGCGAGTCTCGATCGTTATATAACTCTCCCTCGCGACGGAATTTGGAAAATTACGCTCGTGACGTTTGGGGATTCTCGCGTGATTCCTGTGACGAAGAAAAAAAAAATAAAGTCGCTCTTATTTCGTCCTGAAAAAAAACCTCTTGCTCTTCGATTGAGCTGCGTCCGACACACAGCCCTGGGACAGTTCCTGCGCTCACGCAAACGGAGAGGATGCGGCACATACAACGACGTGTACACGTCAACTACAAAAAAACTTATACAACAGATCAAGCCTTTTGCTCTCTATACATTTATGTGTTCAGCGCACGGTTACGCACACGTAATCTGCCGCAACGGCGTTACCTCGGCGCGCTCGAAATAGCGTAATTCGAGAATCGTACGCCGTGAATGACGCACGGATACGCCCGCGATAACGTTTTAGCGTAGCGGCACAATTCGCGAAAACCAAACGTAGATCATCGTGTGACTTGCAACATCGCACGAGGCGTAACGACGATATTTCAGTGAGCGATTTTACTTCAACGCGGTTTCGATTACGCGTCGTATCGCGTATCGTACGACGCGCGTTCAGACGGGAAGCTAACGAAGAGTTCATAATTCTACTCTAAGATTTCGCTTTCCTTCACCGCGAACTGAATGTCGCTGTTGAATGACGATTACCGCGCGAAAGAACATAAGAGCACTCGAGCAATCGGGATTGCTCGAAAACTCGAAATTCAGGACGGCTCTGGAAACGAAGATTGTAATGACCCGCATGTTGTAATGATCGCCGTTTGTAACGCGATCCGATGTTATTTTCGCGTGCACGCCGTTGCGACAGTTGTCTACCGAGCTAACATTTATCAAAACGCAGTCGAGTCTGGCACCGAGTTTTAAGCATGCCGCAGGCCCGTCGAGCGTTCTCGACGATTTCTCATTCATTTTCTCATCGTCCCCAAATGAATAAAATCCAACACAGCTACTCGTCCCTCGCAAATTTATGGATCCGTGAATTAATTGTCAGCCCAAATTAATCTCGGGACGTTAATCAAAAATCATTGTGCTTAGTGTACTTCCAAGTGTGTACGCTATTTTTTTTAATGAGAAATTGGAACAAAATAACCAATGGAAATTTTTAATTATTTAACATTAAATTGTTTAATATTTGATTTTGGAAAAATGAATCTACGAGCGACTCCAATCGACCTGATTCAATATAATACGTCTTCCTGTGCTCGAAATTATAGCGCAGGATTACTAGTGCTCTATCGGGTTTCCCAAAAGCAGTTTTAGAAGCCGCTACCCCGTCGAACCGACTTGTGAAGCGGGCGTGCTTGTCGCTTCTTGCTCTTCAATTATTCTCACAATACCGCGACACAAATAACCGTTATCTTACACATCACCGATGCTCGTCGCTGATGTCCCCCACGTGGGCACGATATTGCCAAATAGGCGATCAAGTCGGCTCGAGATATCAAACGATCTTTTCGAATGCAGGTCGGAGGTGTCGCTCATTTTGCAACGACGGGCCTTCGACATTGATCTAGTCATAGGCGCCGCCGCACGTAACAACCTCGCACGAACGCTCTCGCGTATTTTCTTCTTTCTTTTTTTTTTTTTCGTTTTGCGAATAAAACTAGAACAGAAATGCGACGCCTATGCCTCGTTATGTGGACCATTTCATCGAGAATAGGAAGGATCGTATACCCAATGGCGAGTGTTTAATCCACGACTGTTGCCGGGAGAGAAATATCTTGGAAAGTTTCCGACAAATCAAAATTTATAATTTTTTTTATTAAAAAATTGAATGTCAATTTTTTTGTTGTTGCGATTTTATGCGTATTCGTGTTAATTAATTTACATATGAAATATGAAAATAACGACGATAAATTCGAGGCACAGCAGTCGAGGATCAACGACGGATCGAGCAACGCGACTGTTGGGCGCCATTGGGTGTTAGACATATTCCTATTTGTATATTTTGCGTTCGAGTCGTGAACGACTGCAGCCGGGGAACTGAACGCCGTCGCGATTAACCAAACCCGCGACTGAAATCTCCCTTCGAAATCTAACTCCCTCGGGTTTCCAAAGGGGGAAGGTAGAGCGAGATCGTGGCCGTTAACGAGGTTTATCGTTAATGCGGGGATCGACGCTAATTCTCTCCGCGGCGCGGAGAATTATCTTACATTTCGTAATTATCGAGTCTCGTTACTCGAGGGGGAGGATCGAGAGCTCGCTTTCGTTAAATTCGCGCACTCGTATATGGGGGAGGAAAAACGGCGTTGAGTCCCCCGCGGGCTCGTCGTTCACGATCGAAAGATGGAAAGATAGAGATAGAGATAGAGCCAGAGCAGAGGATAGAGATAGTAGTGTGTAGGTTCTTACTCGCACTTTCAACAAAAAAACAACTCACCGTACGCGATGGTAGGTGGGGTCGTATTCGGACCGGACACCGTCGGGTTACCATCGGGTTACCATGGCGGCCATGGTGCGCCCATGGTTGGTTTACCGATGGTTGAGCGTAGTGGACGTAAGTAAAAGGACAGAAGTAACCAACAATGTGAGAGCAGCGTCAAATGCGGCCGAAGAGAAGAGATAGAGAGTGGCGGAGATTTTTGGTCGGTTCGTTCGGATCACATTCCGTACGGGAAGACGTGTTTATTTTTTTTAAAAAGATTTTTTTTTGTTTTGATTTGGCGATTTGCGGATGGTTGTTTGGTTGGTGTCGGTGGTGGTTGGTGGTTAGTAGTGGTGATGGTGGTTGGTGGTGATGGTAGAGTGGTCGCGATGAGGTGGTTGTAGAATTATGGCGCAAAAGGAAACAACACATAGAACAGACAAGAAAAAACAAGTGTGCACAGCGTAAGTGGCATTCAATCAAGCATGTGCGATTAGACGAT